GCCATTAGGTTGGAGGCCATCACTAGTAAGGTGGAGGCCATCGCTATCTAGACAGAGTGTGCAAGTCTGCACAAGGCTGTTGGCCATAAAGTGTAGCCTGTTCTCTGCATGACTTTGCAATACTTTCAGTTTCATCGCTTGGAGCCAAGCGTCCCGTCCTGCGTGGGAACCGTGGAAAAGTCATCAGTCAGCTGAAGCTTCGGCATCCAAAAAGCAATGCACTCTGGTGGCGACACTGGAGCTCGTCCTGCTCCCTGCGGAAAACCGGCTGGATTTCTGGGGACACCTGAACGAGAACATGCGGCCTGCTCGGTCAAAACTGGACTGGCACATTCCGGCCTCCACAAAGGTGTCAATGGTGGGGCCAGGCATTACCCCCATCGCAGGCCCTACACAACCTCGCATCGGCAGAAATGCGGCCAACACAAACCCACACATGCAGAATCTTCCAGGGTCTGTTTGATCGGAACCTGAAATGAACCTGTATCTGTCATTGGCCTCCACCTTGTGGTGCTCCCCAACCGCCTGGCGCCTACGAGCGAACTTTCCACAGGGAGCTGGAAAACGGCGGGTTTTTGCTCAGCGTAAGAGGCCTGGGATTGAGGGCATCCACCAGGGCACCCACTGGGCATACCACAAGGTCCGCAGGGCCCCATGGGCCCCATGGGGCCCCCACATGGGCCAGGTGGCACTCCGCCCTGCGGATCAGGACGGTGTCACGTCAGGAGAATCCTGCCTGCATACTCTGCCTGCATAAAGGTCTGTGCAGGTGGGCCTCCAGGCATTCCCTGCAACTCTCAAACAAGGCCCGGATCCATGAGGATTCAACACATCTCACAGCAAGCTTTCACTTTCACTTTCATTGTCATGAAGGTGCATCCAATGCTGGTCAAGTGTCCAGGAGTGTCTGGTTAAGGTAAGCACTTGTGGAGCTCCCATTCCACCCATGTAGCCTGGCCTCAGGAACTTCAGCATTTCTCGTATGGTCTCGTAAGCTGCAACGAACAGCTCCCGTTGAGCTGGTGACTGCGGCCCGCCAGGGCCACCATAGAAGGGTTGCGCCATGGCAGCCGGAGATGCGTGGCTCAGCGTGGCAGGACTTGGCCCAAACAATCCTGCGTCTGACGAATGAAGATCTTCACCTTTCCTCGCCGATACTTTCCAAGTTAAAGCCCCTAGTCCAGTGACCCGCTACTGGCTGCCAAGACCCGTTGCAAAGCCGAAGAGAGCCAAAAAAACGCAGCGTTCGCAAGTCTTTGTCATGACACACTGAGAATCTACAACATTTTTGTGGCATCACCCGCCAAACTGATTTTCCCCAATGAGCACGGCAGTGGCTTCGCTCAGCTATCGGCTTAACTGCTGGGTGCCGGGTGCTGCATTTTGCCAGGCTGATGCATCATGTTGTGATGTATATGCAATTCTGGAGGTGTACTGGAGTATCGTATGCACCCATCTTTTCTTGTAAAGTCCAAACATATTTCTGACACGAAATGGATATGATATACCCGCTTCAAACATGCAACGCCTTTCGCGGTATTTTGTTTCAAGCCATGCTCTGTCGGAAGTTGCCGCTCAGAATATCAGGCCACTAGGGCCTGACCTCAACACAAAAGGAGCTGTCAGGACAAAGCTGAAAGCAGCGGCTCTTCTGTCTGCTTGCTTTCTCTGCAGAATCTGTTTGTTTTCTCTTTTTGGGTTTACTTTCTTGACAACTTTTGTGGAAAGAACCTGAAACAACAAAAGATTTTCTGAGAAGCATCTCAAAAGTTGTTCTGGGGGCAGTTACAAGCTTTGCTTCTGACTTGGACCTGCAGAAAGCAGTCCGAAAGAACATCTGGAGGGATGCAAAATGGTGCACGTGTCAGTTGAGGACCCCGGTGAGGAAACTTTTCCCAAATGAAGATTGGGCTGAAGCGCACCTGGCTTTACGCAAGCCAGCCCCAGCGGCACCCACTGGACTCAGTGGCGTGTCAGGTGGCGATTTGGCGAGATTCATGCTGCAAAATATGGTCATCGGACTAGTCATCGGCTCTTGTCACTGATATTATCACATCACGCAATTCCCAGCAGCAAAAACAACCTCCATAAGCCAGCAAGACGATTTGAATTGGTGCCCTCCACAAGCAAAGGGCAAATGATTGCAAATGTAGCTCAGCGATCCCCTTCAAAAATGACCGAAACATACTTGGTTGAATTGGGTTGATTCGTAATTCTTGGCATCTGTGGCTTAGTGCCGTGCCATGACCCACAATCACCTCCAAGAGATTCCTCCTTCCTATCTGGGAGCATGGCTAGAACTCCACTGGGCGGAGGATCTCGGCGACAGACCTCAAATGACACCCTGGATCCAGCAGGGCCTAGCCAAATGCAGAGCTCATAAGTAGCATAGGGCCCTCTTGGATGAACTGTGGGCAGTAGCTCTCTGAGGCATCTGCTTGCTGTTCCCTGAGCTCTTCGGGAGTTTCTTTTTCCCTTTTTGTGTTTGGAACTCCTGCAAAGACACCGGCTCACACAGCTGGCTGCTTTACATACTCAGACAAACAGCAATCATCACGCAGCTCCTTAAGAGGCTCTGAGCCCTCACCTGAGGAGCCGCTGTCGAAACGCCCAAACAAAGCTGAAGTGAAACCCTGATGATTCTCCTCGGAGTTGTTTGTTCGCTTCAACCTTTTATTCCATTTTCCATGGTTCTGGCAGTTCTATCTGTTTCTTGAGTGCGTCCGCCCAGGGGGCCAGTAAATCTGTGGTCCCAGTTGACCCAGTTGAACAGGGTTTCCCAGTTGACCCGGTTGAAGCCAGTTGATCCAGTTGACTTTGTGTGATGGCAACTGCATCAACTGGATCAACTGGGTCAAGTGGATCAACTGGGACGATGGGTTGGGGTGGAGGCAGTGCCTCAACTGGGTCAACTGGACCTCTGACAGGTTGAGAGCAGATCTAAACAGGTGACCCGTGTGCCGGCAACATCGTACGTCTGAGAACGACTTCATGATGGCAAAAAAAGGACTTCCGGCCTGGATATGCCCAAAAAATCTATAGACGTGTGTGTGTGTGTAGATGATAACCAAGGCATCTTAACTGCGAGCTACATCTTTGGATGATTTTGGATCATTTCTGTCACATGTGAATGTTGTGCGCGCACAGGTCTTTTGTTGAGGTCCAGTCAGTTCTTGCGTCTTGCGTTAAACATTTTATTTCATGTGAATGTGTCTTGTCTTGAAAAGGAATACGAGAGAACAATTGAAGTAGGAAGTAGAAGTAGAACTAGAAGTAGTAGTAGTAGTAGTAGTCGTCGTCGTCGTCGTCGTCGTCGTAGTGGCAGTGGCAGTGGTAGTAGTAGTCGTTGTCGTGGTGGTGGTAGCTTGTTGGGGTCAACTGCATCAACTGGATCAACTGGGTCCGGAGATTTAGCGTGGCCCCCTGTGCGGTCACAATGTGTTGAGTGTTTCTCTCAGCGCGCCATTCACCCAATTCCTGGCTTGCCTTCAACATCCGCCTTTGGCGGCTGCTCCGGTGGAGGCCTCAGGCTCAAGCTGCTTTGAGAGAAATGCTCGGCCCAAACACACAAGTTCAATCTGGTGGTGACATGTTCTTTGCGGCATCTGGTTGATCCCAAGTGATCCCCTCAAGACATGGCTTGTGAATACCTTGAGTCACCATCAGGCTGCGCTCCAAGAACCTCAGTGTGCTTGGGGCCACCGCTGCTGCTGATTCTCGTCTTTGTAGTAGTGTACGTGATGGTGGACATGACGGTGAAACACTCCTGCAAACTCTGCGAAGAAATATGTATATAGTTAGTTTGCATAGGCCCATGAGCAACCATTGAAGCCAAATGCGTGCTAAAGTTCCAATTTTCCGGATATCAAGATTGAAGAGGATTGAAGGGTCAAAACCAAAGATCCAAAGATTCACAGGATACCAACCTGTCGAAGGATGACGAGGTTTAGCACGGCATAGTCACTTTGTCGTAATGAGTGTCGTAATGGTTACAGTAGAAAGCCACCCGTGCCACCGCTGCGCCGCTGGACCTCTTTGGGTCAGAAACGGCCGGAGCTGACTTGGCTCATTGGCGTTCCTTTTTCGCCCAGGATCTTCTGCCAGCACGGTGGCTGGCACGTCACATAGGAACACATAGGAACAGTAACCCAAGGGTACTCTATGGCACATTATGGTACCCTTAGAAGTGTTCTGACACGCATCATGTCCTAGGCCCTAGCTGCAGAACAGATCTTTAATTCCTTCAAAGATCTGAACAAACTCAGCCAGCCTCCGTTCAGCGTGAGAGTCCAAACGCTTGCGATTGCATCTTACAGGTGTGTCGTATGGAGCACCCGAAGGACGCAACTTGATGTCATGGCCACCCACAAGTTGGCACTTCTTGAGTTCCTCCACCAATGAACTCAGCAAAGCCAACATCCGAGCTGCCTGTTTGAGCGCCACCATCTCCTCAACGGAGCCGGAGCAGTGTTCGATGTCCTTGAAAAGCTTCTTGGCATGCTCGGAATCCTTCACAGAACCCGGGCATTTACCTTCCACTGTTGGGTTGAGGCTGTTGCTCAAGCCACTCAGCATGCAATTCGAAGGGTGCTGTGTCGCACCATGACAGCCCTCGCACTCTCGGTGACGAGAACAGTAGGCCATGAGGCTTAAGCTTGCCGTGCCATTGCACGGGAGTTGCCCGGATGCATTCTTTGACTGCAAGGTCTTGACAAACTTCCTAACATCCGAGCATAAGGAGCGAACAAAGCCAAAGTAAAACTTTGGATCTTCATCCTTGAAACCTTGCTCTTTCACAAGGTCACCCTCCGTCGAAATGTCAAAGTACAAGGACATGAAGTGACTCACGACTTTCTGTTGTTCATCTTTTCCACGACCAGGCGCTGCACCTTGCACGGAGAACTAATCCCCCAAAGCAATCCACCAACTGGCATCTTGTGTTTCAAGGATGGAGTAGAACTTGCTTGGGCCCCTTGTCTTTTTGCCACAGCATAGAGGTTCAGCCAACTAAACGCTGATGTGAGTTGTCCTGAGCCTGGCTTTCCCCTCTACCATTACCAGGTGCTTTATTCCACATGGTTTCATGTCCTTGCTCACCCTAAAACCATAAATCATGGGGCCCCGGGCATTGGTTAGGGGATGTCAGGGAGTTAGAAGAATCCCAAAGTCATCGGGACTTCACTGGGATTTCAACCAGCACTTGCTGCAAAGAAGGTGCCGCCCTCGCGAAGCCATTTCAGCAGAGCACTCACCAGCGGCGAGTCTATGCCTTGGTTTCTGAGCCGCTGGCAATGAAAGATCACATTTCACACAAAGAAGGTCAATGCCGGCCTCTTTAATGAGGTCCCCTTCAAAGGTTGCCTTAAAAGGCCCAAACACCTGCCTTTTTTCCGCTCTTAGACTTGGTACTCTGGCACCTACAGTGGACACGGCCTTCCTTCAGAAGGATGTCTCATGTGGGTCAGACGCACTGGATGTCCATCCCCTCCGACCTAAGCCACTCCACCACCTCGGCCTTAAAAAACACAAAGCAGCAAGCAGCAAACGAAAAAGAGAGCAAACTCATGAGCGCAAGCAGTTGGAAATGGGTAGCCAACATTCTTTTTTTCACCCACACCTCAGTCTTTGGTAAGAACCTGATGGTAACCCACACTATGATTACATTATTGGGCACAAGGTTCAACTGCCAGCCTTCAGGTGCCAGGCTACCCCCTTCAAAATGGTTGCGGTCCGACAATTCCAGGCCAAAGACGTTGCGCGGCGGCGTGCTGTCCACGATGACACGCAAGGTGGAGCCGCTGGAGACCTTCAAGTCCTCCATGGGCTTGGATCAAAATTAGATATATATATATATATAGACTGACAAAATACTGAGGAGTTAAAATGATCTAGCCAACAAGCAAAGGAATAATGATGGAGTTATGCCCCAAGAAATGACATAGAATTGACTGGCAATGAATGGCACCTGTCTGTCTGTTGGTGATTGTTGGTGAATTTTCGGCCCGCTTCCTCCACCTTTACGTCATTCTTCAGGGCTTCCACTCCCTCGCCAGGTAGCAAGGACATCAACTCGGTAGACAAGAACTCTTTGCCCAAGAGCTTGGCTACCTCGTCACGCGCTTGATGCTTGATGTCCAAGACCGTCATGCTGTCCATGACCCCGTGGAGTGAGACGAACCTTCCAGACAATCCCACCTGCAGCAGCAACTCTCCACCTTCTACCTGCTTTGATTGGTCATCCGCGATCATCTTCTGGCGGTCAACTGGCTTGACAGCTGTCACGGCGCGAGGAGGCGGTATTGATGCTGCAACGGCGGAACATACCAAAGGCACAAACCAATTGCTCACAAAGACGATACAAATCCCGGCGATGCTAGGCCAGGCGCAATGACCTCATGACCTTGTCATACCTTTCCAGTAACAAATCCCGCGTCTTGCTGCTGAGGGTTGTCTAGGCCAACACCGCCGGCCTTGCACCGTTGAATTCATCCTATTGTACTCCACTTGGGCTGGTATGGGGTACCTCAGTGTGAACAACCGTCACACAAAACATGTGCTCGTCCTCAAAAATCTGGGGCCTCCACTTCTCTCTCCGTTTGTCACTGATACGATCCCTCCGGAAGCGCTGGTCCATCTTCTCACCATCGATCCTAGGTTCGGTCATCACCCGGGCTTGAGGGAGCTTCGCTGCATGACAGTTGATTTTCCGGTGGTGAATTTAGCCAAGTTGTAGAAGGATGTGAAAGGAATATAAAGGGATCTCCATGGAAGAAGGGGAGACTGGAACCTGTACATAGTGGGTGGTTTCTGTGGATCCGGCTTGTTGAGAGCCTCCATATCAACCAAGCCAGGACGGATGAAGAACCGCGGTTTGCCCGACTAGCGAGTGCCGAGCAAACACTGGGCAAACTGTGCTTGAGATACTCTGCCGATCCTTGACCAATTGTCAAGAACACAAAAACACTCTGAAACTCGTCATGTGACGATGTGACATCATGCCGCGTTCAACTCTGCAAAAGATCTGCAGCACACCCTCAGCAGACACACACACACATACACTCTCTCTCTCTCTCTCTCTTTCTTCCTCCCTCCTTCCCTGCTTGTGCCTGTCCGTTGCATTGAATCCTAAACATTCGACAGCCAGGGTGTTTGACTGCAAGCTTGACATAAAGAAAATTATTCTTAGGCAGCTGCGTAAGCAGGAGGCAGCTGGCAGAACTGTGTCTGGCTGAAGCCCTGACATGCACCGAATTGGTGTAAATTGGTCAGCCTACGAAAAAGAATCGTCTCGCCTGATCAGGGACCCTTCCTTGTTCCCAGGGTACTGGTCCAGGTGCTGTCGAGCGGAAGTCCTGGGTCAACGGGCTTTAAATCCACGGGTTACAATCTCCCTGGCACGATTCCTCCGCTGAATGTCTTCTGCTGCCTCTGCTGCCCTTGCTAAAACGGCTGCCTGGCGGGTACAGCTTGCGAATTGCTGCAACAAGGTTCATCTTTGGCACCTTTATTGTCCCACGAAGCTGAAATAATATCTGGCATCTACCAGCAAAAACATCAACCCCGCGCCTTTGCTCCGCTGAGTTCCAAAACCCTCGGTCTGCCTGTCACACACCACACAGTTGATATCATCCACCCCAAAGTTGGTCTTGAGGCAATTCTTTTCAATGCTTGATGGAATTCTCAAAGTCGCAAGAGTGAGAAAATAAGCATACAATACAATATCATGCAATCAGAAACACGCTGCATCACGCTGCCCTGCACTTGCAGGTCTTTCAGGAACAAACGTCTCAATGGCTGGCTATGCCTGGCATAGTGCTCCAGGTTGGCGGCAGCTGTGCTCAGCACCTCAGCTGGAAGGACAGAGAGAACGGCTCTATGGGATCCCCACCAGACCCAGGGGTCGAATCTGAAAGCCTAAAAAGGCATACCCCAACAGGTCATGTCGTGTGCAATAGGAGCTTTGTGATCCAACATGTTGTTGTAACATCATACGTGGCATAGGTCATTGCTACGGTCATGTGTGCTATGTAGCATGCTAGAGCTCAACGTCTCGTATATTCTTATCATCATATGAATCATATTCATGATGGGTGTTGTGTTTCTACTTGCTAGCGCAGCTGGGGCGTGAGCTTCATGAGCAGAAGCACCTCAGCATAACAGCGATGCGCGCAACGGGGCCCCACCCTCTTCAGAGACCAGAGAAGCGCATTTGGCCAGGACGCTTTCATGCTCATACTGTTGGAAGTATTCTGGATGCGGCACCTTGGCAGAGGCACATTACTGATACCCGAAGAGTTGACAAGGACTCGAAGACCTCCGACGTCACTTGAGTCAAATAGTGTTCAAAGACGACATGATTTGAGGAGAGCCCGCAATAAAGTGACATGAGGGCCGGCAAAATGGATATCGAATGAATTCTGTACAGGCACCATCCATCCAGAAACCCTTGAAAAAGTTCTGCGGCCAGGCAGGCAGGAGGCTTGTGGAAACAACCACTGTGTCTTTTAGCTAAACTCTCCGAGCACTGATACGTACGGACATTAACTCCACAAACAGCGCACTGGCTGGCGCAATGGTGGTGCCAAGCGTTGATGCTACCACTGAGGTGTTCAATGGTGTGCTTCCGGGATCTTCCCGGCATCTGAGGGAGGATGGCCCATGATGGCCCCATTCCGGCGAGTTAACAAGAAAAGCAGCAAAAGGATGAAAAGGGACCATAACTGGGACCATATTATGCTTCTGAACTTCTCCGTTCTTTGACAGGATGAATTTGGATGGCTCGTATGGACAGTATTGGACAGTACTGGTGTGGATTCCTTTTTTCCTTTACGAACGGCTACAGCAATCACCCCTTGACGGGCCACACCTCTGTAGCGAGCGAGTCAATCGATAAGAAGGCGGCATCCTGCAAGGCGAAACCCAAAAGTCTGGATAGCTTCTTGTTACTAGTAGTAAGAATGCTCCTAGTAGCGATACCAGGAGCCCCTAGTAGCATCCTTGCTCCTAGTATATAGTAAGGCCAGGAGCCCCTAGTAGCTTTTTGTTACAGGTGAAACGATTCCCAAGGAAGCTTCTAGCTACTAGTAGCGTCCTTGTTCCTAGTAGTAAGGCCAGGAGCCCTTAGTAGCGTCCTTGCTTCTAGTACAGTAGCAATGCCCTTTGTTCCTAGTAGCCACCACTATGTTCATCTAATGAACCCCCCATGCCACTGTTGCCATTCTCACCTCCAAGAATGCCTCTGGTCGGTCGCGGGCAGGGGACACCTGACAAAGCACTCAGAAACACAAACTGATCAGTCCTATCTGTCCTATCTTATGATGTCACACATTTGATGCCAAGCTTCCGGATCTGGAGGATCCCACCTCAAAAAGCTGTCGCATGTCAACTTGGCCATTTCGTTTTGCTCCTCTGCGTCCCAGGCTGCACGGTGTCTGATGGCTGGTGCCAGAAGTAGAATGCCCTGAGTCTCGACTCAATGCGGCATGGAATAGCGGCATAACAGCTTCAAACCAAATCTTTTGGGAGTTCTGCCATCAAAAGAGACCAACCTTGACCAACCTTGAAAGTACTGGGTAGGGCGGGTTAAGGAGAAGGAACACTGAGGACTTAGCTCGTTCTCCTCTGACCACACTGCCTGCGAGAATGTCCGATGCTGGCAGCTAGCAGCTTCGTACAACTGAAATCTGCGAGCAGGACAGAATGACTTGCGTCAATCATCACAGCTCAGCGGGCTAGCCTTCCATCCCGGAGGAAGGTCCAGAGTTGACGGATCTAGTAGGTCATCGAGCGACTCCTGAGAAATGTTGAAAGCAAACATCGACAACTCCTGTGTTGCTTGGGCTTCCTAGGGCGTTGGGTTTGCGTTCTATGCAGTTCCATTCTACAAGTCCAGACACTGGGTTATCAGTTATCATCTCGAGAGCGCAAAATGCAGTGCAAGGATGTCCAAAGGCACAATTGCACTTGGACAGGAATTGATGAGCGTGCTTACAGCTCGTGACGTCTTGTGCCCCAATGGACACAGGACGTTCGGCCTTCAGCAGCCAAAAAGACTCATGAAGCATGCCATAGCGCTCTTGACCACCTCAGGCAACCCCAGGACTGACTTTAAAAGTGCAGCCTTGAAGCTGTCGTAAGGTGGATAGCGGTCCACGTCCAGAAACAGCGCTTTGTGCATGACAGCACGTCGATGGGAGAACTCTTCAAAGCCCCACTTGCCATGGTAGGAACCAAAGCCTGACTCTCCACAGCCACCAAAAGGCAGATGTGGATTTGCCAAGTGGAGTAAAGCATCATTGATGAGTACACCTCCGCTCCTCGTGCGACGAATCACTTCTTCAGCTGATCTCTTATTGGCTGAGAAGACGTAAAGGGCCAAAGGAGTCTCTCGGCTGTTCACAAATTCAGCCGCTTCTTCCAAGCTCTCAACTGGAACGACCATCATCAAGGGGCCAAAGAGCTCTTCAGTCATGGCCGGCGAGGACAAATTTGGTCTGGATATAATGGTTGGTGGCAAGAAGCAAGAAGATGAGTCTGCCCCTGATCCCGCTCCAGAGCCACCACAAACGACCTCGCCTTGCGAAGTCTCCACAATGTTCTTCAAGCGAGCGAAGTGCCTGCCATTCACCACTTTCCCCAGCTCTGCAGAAGATCCGTTCTTGGACATTGTGGCGGTCGTTGCCTTGAGAGCAGCCAGCAACTCCTTTTCTGCATCTTTATGGACAAGAATGTAGTCTGGGCTGACGCAAATCTGCCCTGCATTGATGAAGAGTCCAACTGAGCAAATCCTGTTCACCGCAATCTGAAGCTGTGATGCAGACAAGCCCTTGTCCACAATCACCGGGCTTTTCCCTCCCAACTCCAAGGTCACAGGGCACAAGTGCTTCGCGGCGGCCGTCATGACGATGCGACCAATCACCGCATTGCCGGTGTAGAAAATGTGGTCCCACTTCCGTGCGAGCAGCTCGGTAGACTCGGCCACCTCACCAAGGTACACGCGGAATGTGGCCGGATCCATGTATTTGTCGCACAACTCCTTGATGGCACTAGCGGATGCGGGGGAGACATCCGAGGGTTTCAGCACCACGCAATTTCCGGCCGCAATGGCTGCAATGCATGGGGTCAGACTCAGGTGAAATGGAAAATTCCAAGCACCCATAACAAGGACGACACCTTTGGGTATCCTCTCAACACGTGACGAGCCCAATTGCATCAAAGGTGGGGTCATTGTAGACTCTGGCTTCATCCATGTCCTCAGATTCCTCATTGCAAATTTGATCTCTGCAACTGTTGGGCCGATTTCAAAGTTGTCAACTTCAAAGGCTGGACGCTTCAAGTCTTCTGCCAAGGCTGCTGCAATCGTGTCTCGATCATTCACAAACATCCTCTCCAGAGCTTGGAGCTGTCCGAGGCGCCAGTCCTCCGTGAGGGTCTTACCGGATTTGAAGCTCTGCCGCAAGGTGCTGTAGCCCTCATCCAAGGACTTCATCCATTCCTTGGGCACAGCTGAGCTGGACGTCACAGTGTGGACTTTGGAAAAGCCACCCGTGGTCGTCGCCATTCCCGTTGAGGAGCGAGAGTCGAGAAAAATCGCGACCAAGGATCGGTTCTTCGCTTGGGAGGGCGCGGGCGATCTCTGTGAACGCAGGTGAGGGAACCGTATGTCAAGCTGGCAAAATGTGACATTACAAAATGTTACACACGGCAAGTCAGGCACACAAGCAAGTTCAGGAAGAGCTTGGGTCCTTCCGTTGCAACGTCTGCTGTGATTCCTGCAGCAGCTGCGCATGGAAAAACGGACCAATTAAACTTGGCAACCTAAACAACTACCTCCCTGA